AGTGTTTTCTTTGGGTGTAAACAAACCCGAGCATCAGTTCTGATCACCATGACGACACCGTGGAGCTGAAAACGTCTCAGTGGTCGGGCTCCCTGAGACGTTTTGTCTTTGAGCAGAGTTTCTGAGGCTTAGACTTTAAAACTCAGTTAACCTGCAACCTTGACATTTTCAGAACACTTGTCCCTCAGTCATTAGTTCAGAGTGTTGAACTGCACTGACTCATACACGTCCTCAGATCGTCCTCTGACACACTGACCTGTTTGGTGGAGGACGGTTTCCTCACAGGGGTGGACTCTTTGCTTTGGGTGCTATCTAAAGGAAAAGGTGGGGCCGACCTCCGTAAGCCACGGTGGTCCATTGGATAGAGACACTTTAGTAACAGGAGCATTAAGAAGCTTTGTGGTTGTAGGTTCGATCCTCGGTCATCGTATTGAAGTGTGAAGTCCAACAACCAGAGGGGACATGAGCTGAGAGTCACTGACGTCCATGCATTGTGGACAGGAGGCAGAGAGGGTGGCCCACTAACCAGAAGGTTGGTGGTTCCAAACCTGGCTCTGGGCAAGATACTCTGTTTGATAACCAGGACCTCACTTAATCCTGCACACACACACACACTCACTCACACACACACACACACACACACACACACTCCCGTATGGAATTCCTCTGTGATAACAGTGGAGACCCTCAGCTGCAGCCAGCGATCATCGTGCTCTGTGATGCACAAGTTCAGTTCAAGTTCAGTCTTGTGTGTGTCTGTTTGCTGTGTGTGTCTATTTGCTATTGTCGTGAGTGTGTGTGTGTGTGTTGTGCAAACACAGTGTCAGAGAGCAGACATGTATCTGAGCTTCGGTGGACTCACACAGGTTTTCCCATGCTGCTTCACTGCAGGCCAGTCAGAGGGGAACTGTGTTAGTGAGTCAACCCTGGGTAACGTTAGGTCTGTTCCAGAATCAGTCGTTCTCTTCCCACTAACCGAGTGAGGGGCACACGCTGCCTTGTGGTTCCACCGCTGACACAGATTGTAAACTATTAATGACGACAAGCTTTCACAGTCGACCGCAACTTCTCAAAGCACTGGTGGTGAAGTTCAGCTGTGTTTGCTCAGGTAGCTGCGATGCAAGTTTGTTATTTGCATCTCTTCTCCTCAGCTGATGTAGGGGGGGAGAGCTGGGACACACCCAGGACATGTTGCCACGGTATCACAGTCCTAACATACAGACACAGTCACAGACTCCAGTGAAGCTGAGCTGTGGGAGCCGTGTGGGACTGGCTCCAGCTCCCCTGCACTGATCAGCGGTATAGATGATGGATCCACGACAGATGAATAAAACATCCCCTGTGACTCATCTGTGATAAATGTGATCGGTATTAAATGCCATGAAACAACGGGCTCCAGCCGGTGAATCCTTCCTGCCGCATGAGAGGCAACGATGTCGGTGAGACGTCCAGTGCCCCAGTGTCACGTTTCAACTCAACTGAACAGCTACTGCAACACATCTTTAAAAACCAAGGGGTATTAAAACCTCCTCGTCATGTCCAACTCTAGCTCTCTGCCAGGCAACAGAAATTAAGGCGGTTGAGACGGCCCGGCCTTTGTGGTCTATTCTATGTGGCCCACGAGGGAGGGGGTTGAAGCCCCTGAACTGAGACCCAGCTGTTGTGTCTGTCGTCCTCTACCTTTATCCAGTTCCCTCGACAAAACTGTAAAATCGCACCGAACTCAAAATGGCCCCGGTAACCTCACAAACTGCCACGTCATTAGCAGTTGTTGATTTTCACATGGAGTTGCCATACCAACCGTAAGTGCAACTGTTCTCTTAATCATCCAGGGAAGAGCAGATACAGATTTCTTTTCCCCAACAGTGACGTACGATGGAACAAAACATTATTTGTGGTTTGTTTTCAGCAGACGGGCGGAGCTGCAGGATACAGAAACTTCAGAGCAGGAACGTACACTATACTGATCTGCACTTACTGTCAAGTGGCGCCGCTCACCTGAGCTGAACCGCACACAGTGCATGAGTCAATATTTGCAAATAAATGAAACTGAATGTTTGTTCAGGGAGATATGAGAGAAAGTAGGTTGGAGTTGCGTCCGTGTACCAGGTCAGGGATGAAAAACACATCCGCTCCACTGCAGCCGTCTGGGAGGCACTGAAGGTCGTGTTATAATAAGACACGTGGAACTGGGAATAAAGACGAGTTAGCCACAGTGTTGACACACACACACACACACACACACACACACACACATCCTTATTAGGAGGTTCCATTCTTTGTGCACAACTTAACCAACACCTAATCTCTAACCATGACCAATCTGACTAACGTTAACTTTATGGGGCATTGTTGCATTTATTGACAAGACTGTGGCGTGAACTGTGGAGAGAGATGCACGGGAGACAACACGCAGCGACGGGCGGAGTCGGGATCGAACCTGCAACGACTGCAGGAGGACTCACGTCTGTTTCTGGGGCTCCTGCTCTACCAGCTGAGCTCAAAGCCACTGAAATGATGCATAGGCTCATTAGGAGCAGACTTGGACTTGGGTCCTCATGAGGTGTTTATGCTGGGACACGTCCTAATGAGGTAACAAATAACAAACACACACACCGTATATATGTGTGTTTCCTCTCTAAGAAACAATATTAATACCTCACTTCTGTCCCTGCTGTGGCTCAGCATGGGGCCAGCAGTCTGTGTGTGTGTGTGTGTGTGTGTGTGTGTGTGTGTGTGTGTGTCAGTCGGCAAAGAATAACTCCTCTGAGAAGCTTTGAAGAAAAACTGTGACTGTAGAAACCAGTGTTGATTTTTTTTTTTGAAGGTGATTTGAACAACATCTGCAAGAGGGGCGGAGCTGTGGGAATTAAAGTCCCGCTGATACGAGGCCTCGACCAATCGTGAGCCAGTGTCTCAGCTGTCTATCGCGACATGTCGCCGCAGATTACTGATTAAAACCAAACTCTAAACTATAGATTAGTGAAATAAATCGACCTTAATTGACAGAAAGCATCTTTGAGAAAAAAAAAGTATTGAGTGTGTTCTTTCCAGGCTGGTTCACGTCCCAGCCACTAACATGGAGGAGAATGGGTTTATGACCAAAACTGCAGCTCGCCAACCGGAGGCGATCAAGATTTGGCTTCACTTTTGGGAGCTGTGGCGTCCATCTTTATTTACAGTCTATGGTCGAAATCTGGTGACAATCTCTACCAGACAGAACAAAACAAACAAAGAAGAGCGCTCTTCATCTTCATCATCATCATCGTCATCGTCACCATCAGCTCAATGTTTACACAAAATACTTTATCCATAAAAACCAAGCAGGGATTTTCTCTGTGCCAACGTAAAGTCGAGGTGAGCCGAGTGAAACTGGGCAAACTGTTGCTGGAACAGCTTTTCCATTTGCACACTGGTGCAGCGTTCCAAGACATGACAGCATCCACACACACACAGACACACACTGACACACACTGACACACACACACAAAGACAGAGCTACAATAACTTGGAGCAGGATGAATTATTCAGCGTCTCTCTCTCTCTCCCCTCGTGGACACTGTCTTTTTCAAGGCACCAGAGGATCCTCGGTACGATGGTGTTGGACTTCTCTCCATGTGCTCCAGCTACATGCGTCTATCAGCCGAACATGTTCTGCTGGTTAAATCTGACTTCACAGGCTCGATCCCGTCTCCATGCCCAGACACCGGAGTCATAGGGATCCGTCTGAGGCACCAGTGGAGAGAGCAGCTGGCAGAGACAGAGTGTGTGTGTGTGACTAACTGCGTTGCTGAGCACTCGGCCTGTTGTGATTCTGTTACTCCAGCTGGCTCGGCTCAGTGCAGGAAGTCCATTAGCGCCACAAGTAACAGTGAGGGTATTCTCCGGAGCCTCAGCCCCGAGAACGATTGGGCCTATCTGGGGTCAGGACTTCCAGATGAGACGGGGAAGTTGGACGATCCATGAAGAGACAAGAAGCGAACGTGAAGAGGAAGTGGACTTTATCTTAAACTCATTTCAGACAAAAAGAATCGTTTCATTTATTTAGTTTAATTAGTGGAGGAACCATTATAAGCAGTTCCAAGTCCCGAGTTCAAAAGTATGTTTTAAAACACTGTCAGTAAAATGTTCTTACTTTTAATTCATTACCTAAGAGTTAATTTTTATAAAATTTCTCCAGGCTTTTGTTTGTTTTATTGCTTTATTCTATTGCTTCTATTAATCTATCGTTTTCAACCAGGCGTTAAAAGTTTGTGCGGATCCGGATCAGGGGCCAGATCCAGGATCTAGTGAATTTAAATGTGGTTTCATGAGGGGACAGTTGAGTGCCACTGATTTATGAGACATTATATTTGTCATTTGTACTCGGTCTATTAATTGCTCTTTGAAAAGTGAGCGATAATAAGATGTTGAGAGTTTCTCAGTGAGCTGCAGAGACTCCGTGGTTTCACAGTCGCAGGAGTCGAGTGGTCACACTGGTTTATTACTGATTAAAGCCGCAGGCACACAAACCTGTTAAATCTTGATCTGGATCCATATCGGGGGGGAAAATGTTGACTTTTTTTCAACATTTTCACAATTTTTCCAGGGAATAATTCCTAAATCTGGATGAAAAATAACATCAGGCACATTTACAGGATTGATATCTGAGTGCGCGAGATGTGGTGCAGCTTGAATTAATTAAACTCTCGGTGGAGGTATGTGCTCTGGTTGGTTTGTTTGACAGCAGGATTACACAAGAAATACTGAACGCATTTCCACGAAAAAATATTGGAAGGTCGGGACGTTGGCAAAGAAAGAACCCAATAAATCTCGGGGTGGATCATACTTCTATCGCTTTCTTTCTGCAGTTTTGTGACATTTTGTGCACTAATTTATGGATCTTGATTTAATTTAAATGAAGTTTCACAAGGGCCTTGACGAAGGTTTGCAAATAAAACAAAAAAACATTGATTGTTTGCATCTCTTCTCTTAATAAGTCTCTTGAGCGATCTCCCACGTGGACGGTAAAACAGACATTTTATTTCAGTATTGCGATTAAAACACACAGATCGATCACACCTTCATCCATTCACATCACTTCCAGTTCTTGTCGCGCAGATATGTGATTCGATAATAAATAAACCAAACATCCATCCACCGTTAAAGTGCTGCACTGATGTGACCCATCTTAAAGTGAGACTACGTGACACCTTCCTCCTCGTACAAAGATGGCGGCGGCTAATGCTTGCTAATTAAACTTAACTTTAGCTAAATGTTGCTGCGTGACTGACGTCAGTTTTCTCGCTGTCAGATCAAACTCTACTCGTACACATAGCGATATCGGGCTGTAACTAACGATCATTTTTTATATACCTGCTGCTAAATATTGATTAATAGTTTACTTTTTAATATTGTCTTTCAGTGACAGAAAAGGGAGCAAATTAAGCTGGAAGCTTTTTTAAAATAGTTTCTGTTGAATGACTAATTGGTTAATGAGCTCATCACTGCAGCTCGACACTAACCCCAGCAGAGTTGATTATGAGTTTTTCTTGTAGTTATGACTCGTGGGTTCTGTTCTACATTTACGTAGTCTCACTTTAGAATTTAATTCTTCTTCATAAACTTCTGATGTGACTGAGAAAGGCAAAAAAAAAAAAAATAATAAAACATTAATACAATGAGACAGATGAGAACTTCAGAGAAAAAAAAAGCATTAAAAGCGTGGATGTCGTCATCACTCATCAAAAACAGCCATAGAAGAAGAAAAGAACATAAATATGAATAATGTTAGCTGGAGAAGTCTCCTCAAATGTTGAAATCAAATAGAAAAACCCGTCAAACACAGTGTAAGACGAATGCAGTACCAGCACATGCTCAACAAAAAGACATGTGACTTCATTGTAAGTACAATCTTCAGTCACAGAAGGCATTGAACAGTAGAGTCTATATGGCGTATGAAGCAGTGTGTGAGGCCTACACAGTGTGACAGGAGGGGAGAGACGCAGGAAGAGAGAGAGAGAAGAGACAACTACCCATCATCTACCATCTCCTGGAGAAGAGGGTCTGTCAATAGCCCTGACCGCCCTCTCTCTCTCTCTCTCTCTCTCTCTCTCTCTCTTCGCTTCTCTCCTCCTGCCGAGCGACCTCGGACATTCCTCCTGTTACTTCATGCACAGAGAGCCAGAGAGTTGCAGCCTTTTGCTTTCAGACGGGAGCTCTGAATCTGCCCCGGGGGAGTTGAGCGCAACAACAACGGTGTCCAAGGTGAACTCGGGTAAAAAAAAAAAAAAACTAACTAAAAAAAACGCCTGGACTCACAAGTTCTGCAAGGTGCTTTGGATTCAGAGCACTTCCAACCTTCTGGTGTTTTTTTTTTTTTTCTTCATGGGCATCCAAAGACTGAATCCACAAGTAGGAAGGATGATTTATTAATAAACCGTCTGAGTGAGCAGAGGCTGTTACTGCTCAGTGGGACACACGGTGCGGTCTTTGCAGCAGAAGTAATGAACCACCACACCGTTGGGATACCTGGCGAATGCACTGAAAGAGAAAGTTTAACAGACGGAGGATGTTTTACTGTTGGTGGGATTAAAACTCACTGCATCGCAGAACATAAACAACATTAAAAATGGAAAGTGGAAATGAACAGGGTATGAAATGAACAGCACTTCATTGCATTGAAGTTCATTAAAGTGACATTAAATCTGATAAAAACAGATGTTTACTATAAATGGACAGAGTCATAATCCATCCATTAATGAGGGGTTTTAATAATAACAACCACAAATAACTAAAAATTTAAACATCTGTCTCTGAAAAAAGACATCGGACAAAAATGCAGAGACAGAAAATAAATGAATAAAAATGTATGAACATTTTTGTGACTCTGACAGTGAGACACAGTTTTACCTGTTTCCTATTTTCTTTTTGCAAACTCTGCAGGTCTTCTCCTCCGTGATGACGCATTTAACCTGCTGGTGGAAGATTCGCTCCTCCTGCACCTGAAGACAGAAACCGATGAACAACAAGAACCAGAAATTAATACAAGTGAAAATCAATCTGTCAAAACATTTTGCCCAAATTTGACATATTGAGATTTTGTTTTGTTCACAAAACTGGAAGATATTTAGTTAATCATTAAACTGGAAGATATTTAGTTTATCATTAAATAACAGAAACCAAACAATTGTGAATATATTTAAAGATTAAAATCTGAATATGGGAAATGATTTCTCATGAGACACAAACTGTCAAAAACACGTCACGCTTCCTTTTTCATCAAGAGGACAGAGGCGATCAAATAATCTCACAAACACAACATGACTTTTTCTTGAGGGGTTTTCTTCGACACATCACGAGATGTTAACAAGTTTTTAATCTTATTTACAGGAACCGGCGTGAAAACGCACTCGGCTGGACTCACCCTGAGGAACTCGGCCTGCAGGAGACTCTTCAGCACCTGGTTGCAGCGTTTCCTCTGGGCCCTCTCCTCCAGGACGCTCTCCAGGAAAACCCGGATCTCTCTGATCTGAGTGTTTGCTGGGAGCAGATTGATGGCCTGGAAGCCAAACAGTCAGATTTGTTCAACACTGAGGAACAGACACTATGAGTTTATAAGTCACAGCAACTCTTCCCGTGTGCGAGGACCACTGATCTCTCTCATATCGGTCAAAACTAAAACTGTTCTTGAAGTTAGGGAGATTTTCACGGGGTCAGATTCGGAGGTTGGGCGGACGGGGAGCAGGATTGAACAGCAGCTGTAAGGTGTAAAAAAGCATGTTTGTAAATGTTGGTCTACAGGAATATTTAACAGCCTGCAGCTGTTCACTAAGTTGACATTTCAGGTTCATTCTTGACTTTGAAAACGGCCGCTGACAAACTTAAACTCGGCGTCTGCTCAGAATGCAACACCCACGTTTTCCTAACTTTTGAGGACTCGTGTCATCGTCCTCTTGTCAAGGTTAAAAAATAAACTTTCAGCCTCAAACCTGAAGAAGTCCTTAAAGCAGACTCGTACTCCGCATACTAATCGGTGTGATACGTGGCTCCGGTCAAACTCTGAAAGGTGGTGGAGGTGAAACTCCAGGAGAGTGAGTGGTGAAGTGTTTCAATAAGTGGATAACTGCACTTATTTATAAATGTACCGTCCGTTCACTTGCTCTTCGGACGGGTTGTGAAGTTGTTTTTCCGACTCTGTGCTTTGAAATTAGAATGTGAGGCACAAAACTAAAAAGTGACAAAAGTAAAAGTTGACATCAGAAGCTGATTCTTAAATCCTCAAAAAAAACATCAGCATCTCAAAAAATGTTTGTCGAGTTCCGACTTTTTTCCCGATTTTTCCGACAGCACGTGAACAGAAGTAGTGTCAGAAACTGTGGTTGTGAAAAGGGAACTGTTCCAAAAAAAAAAAAGGGAGTTGATGTTTCATGTTAGAGGTTTTGCACGGTCCTGTCTCGTTTATTGTCTCCTGGCGAGGCAGCGTCTGGGAGGAAGGCCGGGGGGAAATGAAAGCATGGTGCCGTCAGAGCCAATGAGGGAGAGCAGCAGGGCAGAGAGAGACGAGATGGAGATGTCCCGTCTGTTCGGATCTGAACCCACATGCTCATAAACCTGCAGCGTTCCACTCGAGAGAAACTTAATTTGACATTTCTGTGGCCGGACACAGTTCAGCGGTGCCGCTCAGAACCTCTTTATATCACACACTTGTTATGGAGCATTTTACAACCTCAGTGTAACTGGAGCAGCTAAACTTTAGTATTAAAATATTAACAGAGACATGGGGGAGACGTTTCCAAAGATCATGTTTCCTTGTGATGAGATGTGGGAAGAGTAAGAATATACAATCTGCTGACGGGGGAAGCGTGGCGTGAACAACTTTATAAAGAATTCCTCGAGGGAAATCTTTACTCGACAGCGTTGAGACGATTGTGATATTAAGGTCTGACAAGAAAAATGGGTCGTGAGCTAGTTTTGAACAAAACAGCTTTTATTCAATTAACTCTTTTGCTATTTGTGGTTCCGGGCGCAGATATGTGAAAGGAGTTTCCTCAGAGATGCTCACATTCCCGAGGGAGATCAGCCCCCTGGTGGAAATCTGTTTTTGGTTGGCTGGATCTGTCCTGTCCCAAACGCAGCAGCTTGATTACACCCAACAGTGCGAACCCGTCTGCGCTCGCTCTAAAAACAAACTCAATCCTCTTCAGCTCAGTTGATAATTTAATTTCACACAAACTGCCAAAGTGCGCGTCGTCATTAATCATGTTATTTTATCACATTTTAATCGAGGCTAAACAGACACATCCACATCCTCAGGAACGATTATCACATTTGAGTGACCGCAGAGTCGACTAGTAACGGAGAGGCATGAGGCTGAATTAGAAAATAATTCTTGCTCTCTGGTGTCATGAGGAGTTTAAAGAACCCAACGGAGTTTGTCAGTCCCCTGAAAGTGGAAATGTCTGACATTCTGATCTGTTCTGAAACATATGTTAAACTCCACTGAGATAAAAGTAGAATTATTTGTGACCAGATCAGGGTTAACTCCACAGCCTCATGAGGAACGGAGTGCTGCTGTGGAGCTGTTTACCTTGGTGGTATTGAGCTTGCTGTGGTGCAGCTCCAGGACCTGCAGGGCCGCCTGGAGATTCGCCTGAGGCCCCGACAGCTCCATCTTGATGGGCCCCAGACAGTGGACGTCAGGGGGGGACAGGTACATTCGCAGCAGAGACAGATAAACCTACAGAGCAGAAATACAACTGTTAATACTTGTCCTGGTCCGTGTTTCATGTGAGTCAGGAAGTTTTTGAATTTAATGAACAAGGGTCTGTAAAGAAAATCACTCAGGATCTAGTGATTCAATCAATTGAAAAACAAGATGCAAAACAGGGAGTAAAATAAAATATGATGTAATATTTGATAAGATAAATTATTTATCTATGAGTAATTTTACAGGGAATCAAAATTTAATATGAAAGCAATATGAGCCTGGATGTCTAATACATGCTGGGTTTATAAAATCTAGTCAGGTTTAATATTAACAATAGACTTCATCAAATATTCAACAATTCAATGACACGAAAAAAAAATATATATATAAACAGGCAATGTCAGATGTCATCTTTGTTTGATGGAAAACAAACCAGAGTAGAGCGAGTCAAAAATGTGAACGTGCCATAAATAATCCACTACATTTGTGCAGAGCTTCCAGCAAACACACAGGCTCTTAACTGAAGGCAACAGAGTGTGCAAAATGAAAAAAGGTCATAAAAAAAAAAACACATCAAACAACGAAATCCAAGACAAACAAGTCAAAATGACACAAGGAGCCACTTACATCTTTATTTCCTTCCACTGAACTGTTGTAGTGACTGTGACAGTATCTGCAGAACGCACAGAGGAAGAACATCAGCAAATATATTAAAAACATGATGGAGCTGCTTGTTTCCCTGATCATGAGGGAACCAGGATGTCTCAGCGTGTTTTCACACAGGAGCTACGGAAAATATTTGAAAAATTGGATGCTGGGATTTTCAAGAGTGGTGGCGTCTGGGTGGAGCTTGCAGGAGGCAGGGCAGGTATTTTAGACGAGTCTCCGAAATCAAAGAAAGAGTTGAAAGCGATATCGAGGCAAACAGAAAGGACACGTTTCCACCACCTTCACGTCTGTTGTGTGTTTGAAACTTCATCAACACGCCCACTCGCTCGCTCGCTCGCTGCATTTCCACATGCTCTCACTCAGACATCTTATTACGGATCAAGTGACTCGGTCATTTGTGTTCTCACATTCAGCCCCTCTGGAAAAACTTTGACTTCAGTTTATTTCTGAAAGCAGCTTTGGTCACATGGTTCCTAAAGATCCTTAATCTGCCTGCAAGGTCAAGAACAAGCTCGTGACTAAATATGGTTTCTCCCACTTTAAATTACTACCATACTGTTTGATTCTCTTTCACGGTCATACAGCTCTGCAGGAGTATGTGGTGTTTGACCTGCAGAAGGACTCACTCTTCAGCCATGCGGATGTCTTTCAGGATGTGCACATAGATGAAGAGCGCCTGCTCGTGTTTACCCATCCGACCCAGAAGCAGAGCTCGCTCCTCCAGCAGGCCTTCGAGAGGGAAAACAGGGTCAAGAGGTTCCTGTTAAAGCCTTCGGCTTAAAACATGTATAACTCCAGTAAAACTTTCCTCTGTAACTGAGAACATGTGTACATGAGGTAATGGTAAATATAGGAAACTGTCTTTCTTGGGTGCTGGTTACATGAATTCTGATACAACTACAGAGTTAATGCCATTCGTCTTCTCTTTGCGCGTTCTTTTTCTGACAGGATCTCATAGTCAAGCAAACAGAATGTGAAAGTGTGAGTTCTCACCGTCAAAGGGAAAATCACTGATGAGCCTGGCTGGTTCATAGCTGGTAGAAATATCCAGGAAAGACAGCAGCTTGTTCCTGAACTCCCCCAGTCGGCCTTTCTCCTTTCCTGCAGCAACAGCTGGGACCCCTGCAACAGCACAGAGGGTTTTATTTCAGCATCTGGAGCTGAAACAATCACTCAGTTCATTGATTAACATCAGAAACACACACTCCAGGAAGAAGAAACTCCAAACAATCCTGCAAGTGGTTGTCTAGTTCTTTTAGTAGAAATGTTAAAGAAACAAGGAAGTGGTCTGATAACTTAAGAGATAAATGAAAGTGGAAAAAAAAACCCTCCCCATCCCTCCATTTTTGGAGGAAATCTGTTTAGTAGTTTTCGCATAACCCTGCTAACAAATATATTCCAAAGTTGGCTCGGTAAATGTTTAATCAGAAGGAAATACACACCACACACTAGTGATACACAGAGTGTTTTGGTAAAAAGCACTGAATTTAAAACACAAGTTTTTGCTTAAGGTTTTTACTGTAGCTGATTTTTATCTGCCAAGTTCGGGAGAAAAGTCCTGGTTGTAAAATGATTTGATTTTGTACTGGAGTAAAATACAAACCACAACCAAAATGTTGATCCTGAATAAAATAATAATGAAAATAAAACTGAATGGCACTCGCGGCAGAGTGGATACCTCAGACAAGACACAAGAGCCGCCTCATTCAAACCACATTCAATGCATCCTGATTTTTAACTGGATCCGCACCAAATTGCACACACTGAATTTATTATCTGAGAATTTGACTGAAATGTTGAAAAATGTCCGATATCACATAATAAATAAAGGGAAAAGCATTTTTTTTTGCATAATCATGCTTACAAACAAGGTACGGTGGAGGTAAAAAATAAAAATGATAATGTACCTGACAGAGCGACTGGAGAATAATCTGAACAGTTGCTGCTGACACAACTTTAATATTTACAATGTCTGGACACACTAAGTCTCATCTCATTGTTGAGAATTACAATAATCTCCGAGGAACAATATCCTCAGATCATGGGCTGTGTCCTGCAACCTGCTTCATTAAGCAACATGAAGCAGCAATAACTTGCAGGATTTATCTATTTAATTAGCTGCTTTTATTGTTTGTTTTTTTTGCAGAGTGCAGATTAATGAGCATCTCTGTTTCCTTGTTGGTCGAGAGGTCCGTTTCAATGCAGTGTCTCCCTGGATGAGCATTAAAACGACAAAACCAGAAAGAGATGGATGGGCTTCTTCATCGGTCCTGACAGGCTTTATTTGCAAAGTAATTCAAAAAGACAACTCTTTGGACGGGGGGAAGCAAAGTGGTTAACTGAACCCATACGCAGTAAAATGACTGAAAGTGAAATATTCCTTTTGGCATTAATTTGATTTTTCAAAAGTGGTGGGGAGCTCCTGGGTTACGTTGACTTTGGAGCTACAATAACACTTCCCATTTATATTTTTTCTCTATTTTCTAGCTTTGTTATCTTTCTTTCAGGTTTGTGTATCTGGAGAAAAATCAATCCAATGTCCTGTAAAAGTGTTTATTATTCCCAGAGTGCCCAGAGAAACTTTGACCTCACGTAAACTTTCAGGTTCTTCAGCTCGTACCTTCAGGCAGTGAGTTGAGGTACTCTTTCATGAGGACTTGAACCCTCTCCAGGTAGAGCTGGATCAGCACATTGTGAAACTCCGGGCCCTTCTCGTCCCACACGTAGATGATGTGCTCGAGATATGGGATGGCGAGCTCCGTGAAGCCCTCTCTCAGGAAGTTAAGCACTTTGTCTCGGGGCAAAGTCTCCACCTCCGTCAGGTCCTCAGTGAAAATCTGAACAGGAAGAGAAGAGAGAACTTAAAACTACACCAGGGCAGGAAGTGGAAATAAAATGAATCCAGAGAGGTTTACTGGTGCTGACTATCAATGTTATATCTGGAGGTTGTTGATTCAAAGTTTATTAATACTGAATGTCCAAATCCAACAATGCAGTTCCCTGGGCCGTTAAAAACACAAGTGTGAGATATGTGTTTCACATACACATTAATAGACAGATGGGCTTGTATTCAAAACCAAACTATGAACACACAAAGCAAATTCCTACGTATAAATATAGGAAAAATAATAATGATAAAACCACGCTCAACATCCAAATGAAACATTTGTCGTGGATAAAATCTTTGCGTCTCACCTTCAAACCGTCTTCAGGACAGATCTTCAGCACCCAGGGAGAAAACTCAAAGATGATGCCCAGATTCTCGACTCCTGTGTCGCAGGATGAAAGTAAATAAATACGTATAAAAACTCCATCGAGGACGCTCAGAGGAAACAGGCTGATAAAATTCAGTTATTGTAGTTTCAGAAAACTAAATTAAAGCCCGTTAGAAAGGGCGTATCAGAGATATGTGTATTATTTTCCAGACATTTTCCTGCTGTTTTCTCGTATGAGCTCACTCAAACATTTTCCAAACATTTTAGTCGGGGGGGCGGCAGGAAAAGTCTGGAGCCACTAAACTTTTTCGTTCTCACACACAGCCCCTCCAGAAGATTTCAGGAACATGTCCAGACTGAATATACATTTCTGGGAAAGTTACTGCAACAACATTCAGTAGAGATGACAACATTGCAGTCCAAGTTAAAACAGCTTTGAGTTGGCCGTACCCAGTCTTTGGAGGTACTCCACTGTTCGCTCGTGGCCCTTCAGCGGAGAGTTGGCCTTGGTGGACTGGTCGAGCAGCACCTGCAGAGCTGTGAGGGGGGAAACAGGGCGGAGGGGAAGTGAAAGGGAACGAGACCAGAGATCAGTCTGACCGACGGAAAGCAAAAAGATGTCATTGAATCTTCTGTGTACTGCATTGCATAATTCCTCCGCCAACAGAGATTGGACGAAGCACAGGCACCGGTGTTAATTGGTGAGCGGGAACAGCTGCTTTGAATTGGCAGTGGGAGAACGAGGCAGACAGACTTCAGCAGCATGACATCATCTACACAAACTGTAGCCGCACTCACAGCGAGAACAGCCCGGAATCTACCGCAGAACACTGCCAGGAACCTAACAACGCTCAGACAGCTCTGATCTACGAGGATGACGAGTCGGCCACATGCAGGAAACCTCCACTGAGATCAAGTGCGCAGCCTGACGGAGCCGACCCACCCTACGCCCAGAACTTAAGCACGGTAACTGGTATCTGTTGAATTGAAACATAATGGAACAATCCGGCTCTTGTATTTGAACGAGGAGGTAATGAGAGCGAAAGCTGCTATCCACTGATCCCTCATTTAAATACTTAACCCCAAATTCAACATCCAATTTGAGAGAGAAATTGGAAACAGATGTTTCATTGTGTTTTAAGGCGAGTGTTCGGTTGTCGCGCTGAGGTCTGTAACGGGTAAACCACACTCCCACACAATTAAAGCTGAACTCTGAGATCAGTCAATATCCAGTGATTGACTTCTTTATAGTGCGTGATGATTACTTTTCTCATCTCAGAGGAAATGTCAGTGAATCGTGTTTTCATTTCGAAAGATAAATAAAAGGCTCTTGTCAATACAATGCATTTCCAGGGATACTTTCTTTTCATCCTTTATACGTTAATTGTTTTTTTGAAGATATTTCTTGAACCGAAGAAACGATTTATCCACAGAAAAATACTGACACGTGCACTAAACCTGACTTGAGAAGAAACAGATTTTACTTTTGTTTGATAAAACTAATGTAGGTTCGGATGAGATTAGACAGTTGAAGCATAAACAGTTTGCAGGGTTCTTGTACTGTGCATGCAGGCTGACAGTCATGGCTCACTAGGACGTTTAATGGAACTAATCCATTGTCAGCTAAATTTGTTGCTGTAAACCCATCTTACAGTAGTTACATATATATACAAAAACATATGCATATATATTCATTTATGTATACATATATATATTACTGATTCATGCAAAAAATGCATATTTAAAGTAGCACTTGAACTCAACAGAGAGAGAGAGAGAGAGAGTGTGATCTGTTGTAAATCACAGGTTTTATTCAACAGGGGTCTGAAACTTGAAAATGACTGTGGACATATGGGATCTGTCTTACACTTGTCATAACTGCAAGACGACACCAGACCACCGCTGTCTTTATGAACAGCTTCTCTCTGCAGATAATACTAAATGATACATGGACTGCTTGCAGCACAGGTGGTTTAACATCTTACCTTTCTGGTGCAGGCCCTTCTTCTCATAAAGAATGATCAGCTCACTGTACTTGTGCGCCTTCTTGAGAACGTACTCGCTCTCCTCGATGTGGCAGTGGTTGTTCTCCAGACGAAGGAGGGGGGACACCAGGGCCACGTTGGTCTGAAGAGAGAGGAGGATCAGAGGAGATTACACAACATGAACACAGAGCTTCTCCAAACATATATCCATCTAACCCTTAAGAGTTCAGGTAGTGTTTCACACAAAGACGACAAGTCTTAGTCCATCCTCTGCGCCTCACAATGTGTTATTCATTTAAATAATCTGGTGCAGATGCTTGGCTCTCTGAAGCCCGATCTTAGAGGATCTCCAGTCAGTCCCATCTTCTCCCTCCAGCATCGTCTGGGTTTGTGCTGGGAGTTCCACTGATTGAACGGAGGTTGTTGTGCCTCTAGAAAGGAAGCACCTGGGAGCATTTTGCCTGAATGCACACATCAGATGAACTTGCATATTTCTGGATGGAGAAATAGGACGAAGACTGTTTCCCATTCTGTGTAGAAACTTTGGAGGCTCATAACTGTGATCTCATTCATCATTCCAACACTCCATTGATGAAGTTTGACTCACAGATTACTGAGTGACAGTCACACACACACACACACAATGTTCAACAGTGACTCAGTTTGTGTTACTTCAAAGTAAATCTGCCAATGAGCAGTTTAACACAGGAGCCATCTGGCTATATGTGGTGTGCAGTGAACTGCCCATGGTGGTTGCCAGTTTCTATGAGCATTAAGAATTACTGAATTATGAAATCATGATTTTATTTGTGGAAGGTGAAGACTGCCAAGTTTTTAAGAGCTGATATAACTTTTAGCCGTTGATATAAACATTTGGTCTGGGTTTGCTTACGATTCCAGATTGGCTGTACATCAAATAGCATGATGTTAGCATAATGTTAGTGATGCATGGTTTGTGTGTGTATCCATACACCTACAGTGGGAGAGCATGAGAATGGGCATGAGATAATAATTAATCTTACAAAGGCGTTATTCAATTCCTAATTTTTTAGTATGTATTTAATCACAGAAGAAAAAAATTGCAAAATAATATGAAACTTATTGTTTGCCTCTGCCGACCAGGACCGTTAGTCTGCATGCATGTTTATTCCCTATACTCATAACTCAAAGATTAGGTCAACAATTTCTCATGTAAATATGTCAATGTGTCAAGTAAAAGTGTGAAGAATAAGAAGATCGTGGCCTCACATGTAGGTAACACTTCAGTAGAGTAGTATCAATGATCTGCAGGAGTTTTTTGCGGCTTTTAATAGTCGGTGTTCCCTCCATGAGTGGAGATGTTGTGGAAGGGTCAGAGTCATTCAGCTGTTTCACCAGGTGGCTGCGTTTCTGGAAGAACATCAAAAAAAGTAAATTTTTAGTTTCGCGCTTTCCTTTATCTTTGCTGGTAATGTTTTAAATATCTTTGTGTTGATGTAAAGCCCGTTTTAAAGCCAAAACTTGAAGGGCATCATTCACACAGACCTGGGTGAGGTAATCGATAAGAGCGAGGTGAGCCTTCTCCAGCTCTGCCCCGGACAGTGTGGGTAGTGGGTTGGGATAGTGCAGCTGTTTGCGGTAGTCTGATGGGAGCAGGTCCGGGTACAGTCCAATCACGTGTGTGGGATCTGCAGAATACAGGAGGGATTTCTTAAGTTTAATTCCATGATCATTAAAAGTCTGTTCATGATTTACCGTCTCAGAGTCTGTGAGTTTCCTCCCTCCACTCTCCCGCTGACCTGCACTCACTTTGCACTTTAACAAAAAACACCAACTCTAATCAAGTTACTTTGTGTTTGTTGATTAGTTCCAAAGTTTATGAGACACATATTTACACACGTACAAACCCTGCACTGTAAATAGTTCATCTGCTACACACAACACGCGCACAGTCAGGACATCAGGGTTAAAGTGACCAGAACGAATTCATTACCCAACACCATCGATTAATAACTAAATACATGTGGTTCATGCTGTATGTCAAGCTCTGTTTTCCAAATTTGGCCTGAACAGACAAATGTCAGGTGAGAATCTTTACCTGTGCCCAGTTTGGCAAACACCTGCATGGAGTCATCAAATCTCTTCTGGCAAAACAGATTGAAGGCGTAAAGATTTTGGATGTGATGTATCTGCTGCTTCTTATCACCGTCTGAATCATCCTTCATCTTCTGGCAGAAAAGAAAAGAAAAGCCCAAAAACAAAAAGAGAAAAATCATCACAACAAATCAAAAATCAAACGACAAAATCCAGTCAGATCATTCACTTCCACGAATGTGAAATCCACATGAAATGATTTTTCGGTTTTGAGAAATGCCCCTGGAAAGGAAAACTAGATCACTGGATAAGCTGACCTTAAAGAACAAAACCATGGGAATTTTACTGTTTGAACGTTCTGCCCTAATCAAGATAAGTGATCTCAGTGTTCCATCCTTTTGAGCTCGGGCACAAATTGAATCCTCAGGAATTTAATAACAAGGTTTAATAGTTAAGTGGTTCTGTTGCTCACCGCCAGCTGAAGAGCCAGCTCAAACTGCTTGTCCTGGAGAAGCTGCCGGATCTGGCTCGCTATGGACACAGGCACCAGGCGCCACACAAAGTGGTTGCTGGCAACATACACAATATTTTGCCTGTGAAAAATAAAAAGAAAGAAAACAAGATTACAGAGAACAGGTTGGGACAAAAGTGAGTTTCTTTGTAAAGAGGATCTGACGTTATTAGTGTCATTATCACGAGACACAGAAACCAGGGGAGCTGATGACAGCAGCAAATGATTCATGATATTCTCTTAGAGATGTTGCGCATCGTAAACAGAGCGAGAGCAGCAAAAGAGTTCAACATCAAACCCACGAGACAACAGGACGTTCAAGGTGGATCAGAATTAAGAAATCTCACCCTGCTGAGGTGATGAAGCGAGGTCTCTGCAGCTCCACGCTCTGCACCAGAAGCCTCGGCTCAAAGGTCCGGATCTCCACGTACCGAGGGAGAACGGCGATGATGTACGGAGGCTGGTGCTCTGAGAACGTTAGTGAAGAGGCAATGTGTCAAATTTCTGTGCACGTCAACAACAACTGAATTATCACAAGTGGGTCAATGATGTAAAAATATTACACATCCTCTAAACATCAAATAACTGTGTTAGTATGTGGATCTTTCAAAACTTTAAGGAAAAGAGGGCAGGTACAGTTTTAGATATTACATTTTTAATATCTAAAACTAGGTATATCTGAAAAGGAGGTATTCATCAGTGTTAGCAGGATTATTGGACGGATTACTATGACAAGGATGCCATACGGGTCAGTGAAGATACCCATGGAATCTTGTTTTACTTCATTAAACGTTGCGAGATGGGGGAGATATTTTTGTTGTGGAAGGAAACAGGACAGTGGTGTTCATCAAGAAGATGGTGGCGTCAAACACTGTGCTTTAAGGCTTTAACAATTGTGAAAATGATTTTGCTGCCCATGGGACATAAACCCTCCATCTTAAAGGTAGGTGCCTCATTTGTGATTATGGCATGAAGACCTTAAGGCCAATGGAGCAGGAAATATAGCTCGAGACAGCGATCCAGACAGGCCTGAGGCGGAACAGACTACGCCCACGGGCAATGGCCGCAGCCCTCTGCTCCAGCCACATCCAGTCAGTGAAAAATATTTTAAACTGACCAGCGCTCATCCTCCGCTGATGCGTGCATCAAAAGGAGGAAATTGCAATCGCCTTGTATGAAACCACTGCTCGGAGGCTTCATTTCCCTTCTTATTGTTCCTCTCTGCATTCCAACGAGCACAGACAGACAACGAGGGCTCATCTGCCTCGCTTCTGCCACAAAGTCCATTAGTAACCCAGTGTCTTAGTCACAGGATAAAAAGCTGATCTAAAACGGTCTTTTCTTCTCTGACGTGTGGGAAAACAGCAGCACGGCTCAGACAGAATGGAAAGAAAGACTTTACACAAGGGAAGAACAGATTAAGGAGGAGAAGAAAGAGAGGGCAGACGGCAGCTAGATGACAATAACTGACAGAACAATGGCAGTATTTAGGCCAAATGCTTTATCAGGCGTTTGTTTTAATATCCCATTACTATGAGAGCAGACCTGCTTAGCCACTGTGACGAATACGTGAGCAGACTGTGCTGTTACAGACACAATGGCATCATGTGCACAATGTAATGTTTCTTAGCCAGTCACAGAAATGTAACAGCAACATACAGAACACATACAGATGCAATGAACGCTGCGTACTGAAAGTTTATATTTGATCAGAGAAAGAAGATTAATCTCAGATTGTGCTCACACTCATGCTGAAAGAATTATATTTCAGGAGCTGAATATATCTTCTCGTTTCTGTGACAAACCAAAACCTGCATGCTGCCACAAAATTTAAACGCCATGAACTAAAACTAAATGTCATAATTGTTTTGTCCTCGTGTGCCAAGACGCTAAAAACCCATTTGTCCTCGCAGCGTTCCTTCAGTTAGTGTGCTGCAGTATTTTTCCACAACCAGCGGAGGATAATTACCATTAACAAGCTTGTTGATGATAAGTGGTCAAATTTATAGTAGACGATGTCCTCTGTAAAATCAATAGATGCTTCTCCTTGAGAAACAATAAACTCTAATTAAATTTAATATGTCATTGAAACGTGACGAAGACTTCTTTTGTTTCTAAACTGTGAATTTGAGGCTGAGAGGAAAAGCACGGCAGAAAATGTAGCTGGTTTGGTTTTCCCTGCGTAAACTCAACTGCCAGGGGTGACACATTCTGGCAAAACATCTTCCGTGTTATCTGGAAGACTAAATCCCAGAGTGTCGAGAGCTGGGGGAGGATTCTTGGCTCTTGTTTCTCCGCATGTGAGTCTCCTTTTGACTTTGCTGTCAGTTTCTATCGACATCGAAACACAAATCAACTCTCGCAGAGACATACGGAGCCATTAACTGATAGAAGCAGTAACTTGGATTGGACGAATGAAGCGCCATGTTTTTCATACGCGCAGAAAAACAACAGCATGACCGAAAACAATGTAGAAGCATAAAATAGTCCTTATTGTATCTTTTGCCATTGTTCCTTTCTTACCCATCGCTATAGGGATGTCTGTCCAGTTCAGGGCACACTTCTGGGTGCAAACACCCTCTTCATTTAGGACAACAGTGAGGTCATCCTGCCCGACAGCCACCTTCCCATCAGCCAGTGGTGCAACCAGAGGCTCTAACTGTTTCCCAGTCGGGAAGAGCTCCTTGATGGAGCCACGACCATCCATCTGGTTGACAGGACAGATAGTCAAGTGAGTCAGGAGATACAGAACGTATTAAATAAAACCTTGGTGGCATACATTTAATCTATAAGGTCAGTTATGAGGCACTTTACACAGATAATGAAAGTACTTTCAGGAAATGACGACTGGATGTGGTATAACTCTACCAAGCAGTGGTTGATCATTTGAATACCAGAAATAAGAAACACACGAAAAACAAACAGACAAGTTATGCCTGAAGTCATATAAAAAAAGATCATTTTAAAGTGATATTCCTCTAAAGATCTGTCCGTCCCTGCAGACTTTTAAGGCCAGAAAAATGAATTAAGGACCGAAACAAATTTGAGCAAAAGTAACGACAGGAGATGAACTTCACAACGTTGCCAATCAACTGAAGTACACTGAGACATTTGTGTTTTTTAGCAGTGCTAAGGATTAAAATGGTTTTGATAGTTTCCCTGAAAAACTGTTATAATTAGATCCCATTCAAACTGGAATGAATTCAGTTCAAGGCCTCTCTTTTCCATTAGCAATAATAAACTGTATTTCTAGAGCACTTTTCTAAACACAGTTACAAAATGCTTCACAATAAGCAAGAGAGCAAATTAAAAAAAATACAACAGTTAAACGAGACAGTAGAAATACATTTCAAGACTGGACTACAAACTTCTTATAAGTGTACAAGGGCAAATAGACAGATTATGAGCGGAGGATCACTTAAGTTGCAGGTAGTTACAGAGTGCAATAACTTAATTCTATCTGAGCACATACCCGAATAAGGTAATAGTCTCGCTTGAAGCCAACACATATGGAGTTTTCACACCAAGCCATGGACTTTGGGATATCTGGTGCAGCAAAGTCGCCCTAACAGACAAAAAGAAAACATTGAGATGAGAAAAGGCTGCTCCTCAATGTGGATCACACTGCAGTGAGTCACACATCAAATATATCATCGTACCTGCAGCTCATGGAACTCTCTATCCTTCCAGTAATACAGCTGGAGCTTCTTTTTTACCGCAACACACATTCTCAACCTTTCCTCCCCGGAGCTGGTTTGCTGAGAGCCAGAAAGACAGAGACAAAATATACAATTCATGACTTCAAATCTGCCAAAATATGAGCAGAACACAGTAATGTGGAAAAAGGAAAATATCTTTTTTTTGACAAACACGACAATTGTGTAATAAAGATTTGATGGAATAGATATGCTCGAATTTTAGATATTTAACTGCACTTTCCTGATTTCAAGGCTGTACATTGTACATAGCAAACAGACTGACACATGCTTGAGCTTCATATTAATGGACATGATGATGTTTTTCATTTCTGCCAAGGAAACCATCACAAAAAAGAATTTTCCTGTGTGTTCGTGCTGGTGGGAACCAGCAGCATGTTAGATTTCAGGATTGCTGCCAGTGTTGATACAGCCTGAGGAAGAGCAACGAACTTGACAAGCTCTGAAAATCTACATCGAAGATTGTAACCACGTTTGTGTCTTTAGCCTCCAGTTGGAACCTGTTAACCCATTCACTACTGCAGCAGCACTATTCTTAAGCTTTTATTTGAGTATTTATAACTGTGTCACACTGTGATGTCTTTTCTATTTGCCATGTTTTATTTCGTGCTATATGTCATTTCGTTTTTTAAGTACTAACATAAAAATGACCGTTAGAGGAATTTAGAATCTTCTATTCATACTGTTAAACAGAAAATTGAGGTTGCTTGGAACAGAGGAATTTATTTCTAAAAAGGCTGAAAGGCTGTGGTGAGCTCCGGTCATCACTCAGTAGTAATTATGAGTCGTCTATAAACTAAAAAACATAAGTTATGACCCATTCAAAGCCTAATTTGAATAAACCAGTTCACTTGAAGCTCCCTGGTCTAACACCTCTGAAGATACACCTCCTGTGAATGGCCGGAAACTGACCACAGGAGATTGTTGTTGTTTGAATGTTCCTCAAATCGAACTAAAATAAAAACCATGATAGTAAAAGGGATTATTTCTTTTTACAGCAGAAAGCCGAGGCCTCTGTCTTCTACTTCATCACGTTGTATATTTGTAATAATATCACTACATTTTGTTGCATGTGGTTAAAAAACGTGTTGATAACAGTGGTCGAGAGAAGAGCCGAGAAAAATAAATATTAGAATTGACAAATCTTTAATATTTCTATATGTAGAAATCTTTTAGATCGAGCTAAATTTGGTTAAAAACATGACAGAACCTTTAAGCTTGGGTTGTACAGATTTTAGATTCTCCAATAAATTAAATCACTGTAAAAAAACAAAACAAATGTTGATAGTGGACGACCATTTCTTCAAAAGGTTAAATAGGATTAATGTGAAGACCGTCATTTGCCTTTTCTCTTTCAGTCATCCACTACGTTACACCTGTATGTGTGTTGTACTGCAGTTAGTGCAAATTATTCTTGCGAGAAAGATTTAGAATAGGAAGCAATAAAAACACAAACATTTGACAGGAATATTATTAAGTAATAACAGTGCTGTCACTGACCTGCAGATCACAGGCAAAGAGTGTAGCTCCTTTGGCTTTGGACACTACAGTGATCTGCTGGAACGTCAGGAGGTCATGAACATGGATGTTGTTCTCTGAAGGAAAGAATCAAAGAGACTTGATGTATATTTGAAGTAGTAAAGAAATAAACAGAGGCTATTTAAGCAGTATTGACAGTATTTGTCACAGTGTCCCAAAGTGGTTGTAAACTAATGTTCCAAAGAATAAACTCGTACAATCACTAAAAAAAAAAATCATAAAAACGTGTTAAAAACTTACCAAGAAGACTGACAAGGATTTTGTACTGCGAGACAACATAAAGCTGTAGAGAGAGAGAGAAACAGTTGAAGGCATGAGTGAGGACATCAATAGTTCATCACACCTGCAACAGCAGAGCTCAATTATTTAACCCACTTTTCCTGGGGCTCTCTTCGCTATGTGTTAGAATGATAAATTTAGCATTCAATTAAATGTTGAAGGCCGATCTGAGCCATTACACACAACCATCGTTGGTATTCTAAGAAGGCATGAGGACGCGTCGTGTGAAGTGTGTGCCACTCCATGAATCATTCCAAGACAGGGAGTCTGGCGTTGGGAGTTTAATCGAGGTTAAGAGAGTGAAGTGAAGCTCGTGTCGACTCTGTAGTCCTAATAAAACTGACGTTTATGAGTTAGTCACTTCCTTCATGGGACTTCCTCTTCCTCACAGTTCTTAATGCAGAAATGAGTCTGAAGTTGTCCTGAATCTCTACCTGCTGAATCTTCTTTGAGAAGTTCTTATTGGATTTTTCCAGCGTCACCTCGAACCGATTGGTACCTGAGGGGAACAGAGACACGTTCATCAAAGATGATCATCATCACAAATCAAATATAAATGCAAGCATATCCACCCACTTACATAAACTTACAAATAAAGTACCCTTGCAGTCTTATTTACCTTTATGTTGTTTATCATTGTTCCTTTTAATATATGTTTATATATTTGCATGTCATTTTTCAGCTTTTCAGAAGGATTCTTTTGGTATATTTGATCATTATCTAACTATCTATCAATCTATCTATTGCTCTAGGAACAGTGTGTTGTCGGTTGAGAGCAATTACCCAAACAAATGTCCAACGTGCACATATTTGCAGCAATTTCCTTGCTGAGAATGACTCAGAACAACCAACAGAGACATAAATACATCTCAAATACACGAGGAAACAAAACAGTAGCTCCCATCCCCTTGATTTTAGTTTCTACCTGCATCCTTCTTTATCCGGTAGAGAAGCAGATGCCCTGGTTTTGTACCCACAAGCAGGCAGTCCTCTGTGGGAAGAGAACCTCAAAGTCACTGACAGTCAGTAATTCCAACACATCATGGCATAAAAAAAGAAACTTAATCAGATGTAACTTGCAGGAAGGACATTCATGCCAGTGGTGAAACAGCTCATTGTTGACAAGTGGGACAATTTTACACTGTAGTTTCTTATGTCCCCATTGTTGGACTAACACAGGATTCTCTTATCTCATCTTAAAAACCAGGAAACACCAGCTTCGTGTGAGGGAGACGTACACCATGACAACAACTCACCCCAGGCCGCAAGACAGTCAATCTGGAGCGGGAGCTTTTCCAGAATCGACACCGGTTCGTACGCGTCGTGCATCTTGAAGCTACGCTGCGGATTCAATCACGGACGACTCTGATGGACGGACCCCACGGGGGGAGTCACCGCCCGCCGGACAGCAGCTGACTGACGGCCCGCTGACGGATGCGTGAGGGCGGCTCTCCTGCGTGTGTCGCCATTAACCGTGGAGGAAGAGGAAAGAGGAAACGCGGTGTGCGGTGAAGCTCCGGCCGCTGCGAGGAAACAGTTCGGACGTGTTAGCAACACCACCACAACAACAGCTGATCGTTAGCCTGCTAGCTCCGGAGTTAGCAAGCCGCTGCCGCCGCTCCTCATCCTGGTTCCCGCTCACTTCATGTCGACAGACACCGTCTCTTCGTCCGTGACGGCAACCACCGTCACCTCGGCTGACTCACCGACACCGGGGAGGAACGACGTCCCGGCCGCGGCGCTGTGTTTTCGTTAGCTCGGTTAGCTTAGCTTAGCTTCCTCCACTGTTTTGTTGACGACGGCTGCGCGAGCCAACGGGGTTTGACAGGCACGTGACCGGAGTCCTCACGAGGAACGAGTTAAAGGCGCAGTGATCGCGTTAGTGCCTCACGTCCAGTTCTCGCGAGACTTACTGGACGTTTTTTTTAAATCATCTATCATATAAGTACATCAAATACTCTGTGACACGTGTTTTAGTTTTTTATGGGATCTGCATAGATATTTATATATTTATTTTAGTTTACAGTTCATATTTTAGGTGTATATTTTACTTAATAACTTTAGTTTTAGTTTATATATTTAATTTAATTACTTTAGTTTTAGTTAACATATTTTATTTARTYACTTTAKTTTTAGTTTATATATTTAATTTAATTACTTTAGTTTTAGTTAACATATTTTATTTAGTTACTTTAGTTTCGGTTTATGGGGAATTATCTCAAAATTAAATCGGCTCATCTTTACTCTTTTAACTGCAATATTCATTTCTTATTTTTTTATTTTCTATTTACTATCCATTTATATTTTTTTGGGTAACTTGAATTTTGCAGAAGACCTTCAAACTTACAAAGGATATTCACTGTCTTGCCCTATATTCGAAAACATGTCATATTCCTTTTTTCTTCATCATATTATGATTATATTGCATGTATTTTTTGACAGTCCTTTTTTGCTGCTGTTACACTGATATTAAGAAAAAATTGAGATGTTGAACAGTGAAGCATGAGACAGTACAATATACACACAACCAATGACATTTGAACCATGTTTCATTATAAATTTTATTTGCAAGACACACGCAAAAAGCCACAATATCATCAGTTTCACATTACAATGCAGACTCACATCCAACAATTGGGCTTCAGCATCTCTCTAAAATAAATATCCTCAACAAGACTTGAACAAATATATAAAAAGAAAACATATAGCATTAAGGAATTTAGAATATCCACACATACTGCAGTAGACTGGGACGGGGATATGATTCTGCCACATAAGGTGGAAGATCATTTTGCAGTGTGAATGGGATTGTTTAAAAGGAATCTGTATTTGTGGTGAAATTAATAATATGAATTCATCATATACACAATTCTTTTTTAAACTACCCTGCACCACTGAGTTTGGGTGAAGACCTAAATAAAACTCTGGCCCAGTTAGTGAAAGGTGAGTGGTAAAGGATTACTTACATATTGTTAGTGACATGTATATTTGAATTTAGGCCCACACCACATACACAAAGCTCATGAAAGGATTCTCAGACTCAGTAACTAAAAGAAAAAACAATGTTTACATGAAGCGGACCTGAATCCAATAGCTGTTAAGATACAAAATTTTACCTTTTAAACTAAATTCAAACATATTAACTCTAATCTCATGACGACTTACATGTGAAAACCAGCTTGAAAAGAAATCACACAATCACTTGCCTGGTCTACTCTGTGTAACGAGGTGATCTGGTGAACTATTCTATGAAATGGACAATTGAAGTTTATAATAGTGTACATACTTCACTTTGAGTTTGTTGTGTCGTTACACTAACCCAGTAGTGTATTCCAGTAACATTTTCCCTTGATAGCTGGGATATAATATTCACTGGTGCAGTTACGTTCATATAAAGTAACAAATAGAGATGGACAACAAAGTACTAGTTGTGTGTTAACAATGACACATTTATCATTTACTGGTTCAGCTATTAGAAATCAGGAAATGTTTAATGGCAGGACAGAAGCATAAATCATTTCTCCTCTTGGCTAACTGGTTAATCATACCATATAGTTGCTCATTTAAATAATGCATATGTGTCATCATATCAAGTGACCTATTAAATATGTAGTAAGATTTGCTGAAAATGGAATTATCATTGACAGTAAGGTTATGGCACAGCACTTCTCTGAATATAGATTTCAAACGACGTTGTGTTATATAATTTAATATAATCTTTTACTGTGTAAAATAACTTGGTGTTTTCCCCTCCATTCATACCAGTGACTGATTTCTTGCTTTTGATTCCTACCTGAACAGATTCACAATTTCTACAAATTTCCCCCACTGGATTTCAGGGTCACTTTTTTAATTTTAAGCGGGAGGTAAAACCTTTTGTTTTCGTTCTCATCCCAGTTCTTAAGAAACTGCCCAGGTTCTGCTCAACTGAAACAAACATCAATACAATACCGATCAACAGCAGCCAACCCAGACAACTCAGGGTTTCACCATAACCACCTTAATATAACACATGCTTCTTTCAGCTTATTAACATGTTACACAATATCTGTCAAATTACAAAATGAAAAGTTAAAAAGTGTCTGGACAGAACGGTTGGTTTTGCCCACATTTGTTTTGGTAATCAGATCACTCAGAATGCATTCATTGCTGCCTCAGTGAATTTGTTATCTTTTCACTCTTACATTTATTTCTACTCCATTTTGGATCTCTCCATCTTCGTTTTCAGGATTTCCTGAAGAAAAAAAAAGGCAACACAGAATAAGGCACTTACAGTAATAACTATGTGTAAAATGACAGCACAGCATAGGTCATTTCAAACAGACAATAATGTGAAATCATGGGACTAGTAGGGGAAAGTAAAAAGAGTCTTTACCTCTTCCTCGTCTAGCATTACAGGAAGAGCTCTGTACGGAGAGAGAAAGCAGAGTTTAATGAATCCAGTCATTTTAAATTTAAACATCAAAAGATACTCTCTATGTATGAACACTGTATGTCTATAAACTTACATGAGCTGAGATTAAAAATTACTTATTCTCACAAATTCCAGGCAGTGTAATAATGTGTTTTAAGCAAAACGCTGTGAAACCATTGTGGGATATTTTCCACGCGACCATGACCTCACGGGGATGTCTGAAATTGAATTTTACTACTTACACATCGGCAACAGTAGTAGGAATGTTCTCCTCGACCCATTTAAGGTCCTCATCCTGTTTAGAAATTGAAAAGTATTAAATCATGCATGGGAATAACAATGAAGGGACAAAAGAGAGATGATGATGACAGTCAACAAACCTCTTTACTCAACAGCTTCTGAGAGCCATTACTGTCAGGCTTTGAGCCCCTCATCTTCATTCCCTCTGAAAAAAGAAGAAACAAGAGCCAACTGAGACGACATGATTCAATGACATGATTACAACATAATTGGGTTACAACATTTTGAATGTGAATATACGATGAGCTCTTCTAAACTAATATCTTCTTGACACATTCGCGTGAACAGATGTAGATCGTGGCCTTGATAACAGTGGACTATATAACGTTACACCACAACTGGCAAAGTTTGTCTTGTGAGCAAACATAGATGAGTGGGGACACAAACGTTTTCACAAATAAGCGATAAACTAAATTGGGCCTTGCTGTGAAACTACTTTAAAAGGAGACATATTAACAAAGAATGACATTAAACACAGGTCATATTAATCATAATAACATCACCAGGGTGGGTGTAAGCTGGATCACTGGGTTTCTATAGCACCAGATTAATCTAAAAGTCAATTTACAGTTATTTCTCTTGTTGTCGGGCATCTGAACTGTACTAATAACAACATGCATTAATATTCCAAACACTATCTGACGCAGATGTTCTCAATAATAAGAAGCCTCTGGCCAAACGCTTTGCTGGTCTTGCATTAGAAGGAAGTATGTCTCACCAAAAGCTTCATTCAGCATGGGCTCCTTGGCCTCCTCCTCTTCATCGTCTTCATCAATCAAAGGGGAGTGAGAGAACCTAAGAGGAACGACAACAAACGCTGAATTATGTTAACTCTGTGTATGAATGGAGGTTTTTGGACTCCAGATCGCCTCTGACCCGTAGACTGTACGCCTCTGACCTCTGACTGTTGGCAGACGGCCGCAGCAGCACCATGATGACCAGCAGAATGGTGGAGAACAGGAGACGCCAGAAGGCATCGTCCACCCACAAGTCTCTCCAGCCCTGTGGAGCGGATGAAAATAGAATTCGAGAGAATAAAGAGATGAGTTTCATCAAGTTGAAAGGAAACATCAACTTTCCGTCTCTGTGTAAACAGGAGACGTAAACCTCCCGGAGAGAACGGCAACACAACACAACCATCAATCAGGTACAGAAAACAAACTGACCGTCTGGCAGTCTACCAGCTTGAAGACTTTGGTGGTCCAGATGATGAAGATGATAGAAGCTGAGGATACAAAGTAAACACGGGTCTCATTCTGACGTCTGGGAACAATATGCAATGCTTAGAAACAACACATGAAACCTCCCAACTGTGAATCCAGAATAAGAAACTAAAACCAAAGGTTATTGCAGCCAGAGGGTTGACAACGATGTAAATGCGTTTGCGTGATTTAAAAACATGAGGTGCATGCTGACACAGTACGAGGCCGTTAAAGGAAAAGTTTGTTTTGTGAAATACACGCCTGTTGTTAACCTTCAAACCAAGGACACATTTGTTTTGCTCCAGCTTCGAATCATTTTATCTCCATGAGTACATGTATTTTCCAAAATCATTCTGTTTACCGCAACTGCAGTTTACATTTCCAAACAACACAAACTGAAGCATGCATTAGTCTGGTTTTAGACGTTAACTGATCATAACACAGCAGCTGTTCCTGTTTTCTCCCCCTAGACGAGCTGATAGGGGGACAGAATACTTCCATAACTCACCCACAACAGAAAAGATGAGAGTGTTGGTGAAGTGCTGATACAAAGACAGCTTCACTACGTTCCTGCGGAGCTTCAAGAGACGAGTGGTTTGGGACAGACTGATGAAAATGTAGATGCAAGTTAAGGAGAACTTGTGTATACGTTAGAATGAGCACGATTAAAGGCTTGTATCTGCAGAGCGTATACTGATCAGCCTCAGAGTTTGTCTTTCTGCTGCTCGAGTAAAGGATATCCACCACATGACACAGGAGTCAATGAGGGAGAGGCTGAGATTAGCAACCAGGGCAACCGTCCCGTAGAAACCCTGGGAGAGAGGACGAGAGACCGAATTCACAACACAATCACTTCAATCACCTGTCGTTAGAATGAGACCCCCACAGACTGCAAACAAAGATGGACAACATGACAGGTCCCCGCAGGTGACGCCAAAGAGTATCGGTCATAAACGCCACCTCCTCCATGTTAGTGGGTGGCACAAAAGTACACAGCACTCAAACACATTTTCTCAAAGATGGTTTCTGTCATTTGAAGGTAGTTCTTAACACACTGATGTCTGACATCTTTCCAGTAAGTTTGGTTTCAATTAGATGATTGATGCTGAAACTGAGGCGGACGTCCAAATGATGTCATCCGAGCAAGATGGCAGCGCTCATATCCGGGATATTTTGGCTTCATTTTCCTTACCGTGTGAGCAAGTTGTCCATGTTTACATGCAGTCTATGGGGACCACATACGTCAGTGCTGTTTGAAAAGACCGGCCTGACAATGACAGACGAGTCCACAGCCAATGTGTTTTGTGTGTGTGTGTGTGTGTGTGTTTTGTGTGTGTGTGTGTGTGTGTGAGGGAAAAAAACAAACATTTCAAACATTAACAAAATACAGAATCAATACATGATGGTCACTGTTAATATTGTGGAAGGCCGCCGCAAACAAATCAATGCACTGAAAGCACAAAAGTGCAAAAACATTTTCAGTTCATTATGAAACAGTTCAATGTGCCGTCCTTCAATATGGCCCAGGATGCATTTGGGTTCACAAAAATGTGACCATATGTTGGTGCGATAGTGACTGAAAGAGATGAGCTTCACTTCATCAGGAGGGAAGTTGTATTTTCTAAATGGCCTCTCTTCTGTTGGAGATTTAAGTCTCCAGCTGCCTCCTGACAAAACACATCTGCTCTCCAAAGTGCAGCAGCTCCCTTCATTCCTCTCACTGTTCCTCTTATCCTATGTTTGTTTGTTTAAGTTTGTGTTTTCATGACCTTTTGAAATTGCTGCAGCGTCTTTGGCTCTATTTGAAAAATCCCTCCTGGATCAAAATTGTCATTTCCTATTATCATCACTTCTCTGCCTTCCAGAGACAGAATCCCTGCATAACCTTCTCTTTCTATTGTCCCCTCCACTCAAAATCAAATGTACTTATTCTGCGTGCCTTGAAAGCTGCGCTAGGCAACATTTTTATATAAAAATACACCAACACCACCAGTTCCATGAGCCAGATACTGCTCCATCTGCACTAGTTTAAGAAAAAAAACAGTGGCTTCATTGTATTTGCCTCAGTAAAATTCCACCATGGCCAGTGGGAAGTGATATTTAAGTATAAATGTTCTCCTGAAAAGATTCTGTGTTAAATATCTGTCCTCTCTCATAGATGTAGTTTTATTGTGGGACACAGCAAATCATCTATGAAACAAAACAAGTTATCTCTTGTTGTAATCTGAAGCTAAGGAGTTGCAGACAATGGAAAGCGGTAGTCCTGAAGATGTACATTAAATTAATGGTCAGTATTAAAGTCATTAAATGGATCCAATTCATTGAATAGGTTCTCAGGACAATCGTTTTTTTTATTGTTAGTGCTAGAGAATCCAATATATGTAATTCAAATTCCCTCCATCACACACACACACTTTAATTTTCATTTTATCTCACAGATCTGTGTCAGTGTTTCACAACCATCTGCATATCACCGTTGATTAAAGAACCAGATGAGAGCTGAGCTTTGAAAGGAAAATGAATATGACAGTTCATACTTACGCCCGTCACTCTCAGCACTCCCTCCACAGAGGAGAAAAGCAGGTAAAGAAGCCCAACAGCTGCCAGCCGGTGAACTGTGGTCCCCAACCTGGGCCTACACGGAAAAACACAAAGTTTAACTTAACAAAATAAATGTCTTTCAAAATGCAACTACTTGGGAAATCTGACAATCTTTATTGGCAAAACTTTAAAAATACCGTGATTCAACTTACTTGACTATCCCATACCCGAGACTGACAATGAGAACCAGGATTCGAGCTAAAGATCTCTTGAGTGCAGAGAGCAGCTCCGCAAAGATCACAGCACCTTGAACTGAGAAGAGAAAAACACACGCAAACAAAATGTTTCGTTTAAGACTCAAGTAAAGAGAAAATCCAAAAAGCAGAAGGAACCATGTGTAAAATCGACCGACCATAGTCTCCTTTGTAACGGATGCTCTGGTACTCAGAGTAAAACACAGCTTTCTCGAGCATCCCGAGGATGATGACGGCGCCAATCCAGAACTGAATCCGCAACAGATCCCTCCAGTAGCAGGCGCACCAGAAGAGCCAAACAGCCCCGAACAGGACGTACACAATGCACATGATCATGAAGAACTGTGACGGGCAGAAGCAGAAACAATAAAAGGATTTGTTGTTAAAAGCTGTGGACCATGAGAGTCTATTCACCACCCACCTTAAAGACTCATTGTTGGAAACATCAGTTTCACTTCCTCAAGCTTTCAACCACATGCTCTAAACTCCTTGAGAAAATCCATCCGCTGAATCTCAAGATTCGAAATGAGTTTAGTTTTTTCAAGACGTTTCCTCAAACGTAACTTAAAGTACATACCATCATGAGGGGCCAGTCTGCCGGAGAGGAGAAGTCATGTGGTCCCTTCATCTCAACTTTCACTGGGGAGAGGAAACTAAAATGAGCCACTTCTGCTGACACATAACTGTCACTTAAAAAAAAAATTCTCTTAAATTTGCTATTTCCCAAATGAGAGAACATGAAAGATTCAAAAGCTCTTGAAGTGAATTAAATGGAGTCTCTTCTCACTTGTGAACGCAAAGTTGGGCTGCTCGGCGCCAGTGTCTTCATCGTCAACTCCACGAGACAAAGGCTGCACTTTTACTATGAACAGATACGGACTGTCCCCCCAGGCTTTGGCCACCGCACTGATGTCCTGGAAAATGAATATTAGTGAACTCCACCAACAGTTTGACCTCCGGAAAAACTTAAGAGAGATTTAGAATATTCGCATTTAAAGTAATAGAATTACTTCTTTACCGGTTTGTCGGGCCAAATGAGGCTCTGATTGGACGGGTCACTCTAAAAAGAAACGAAATGGTCGACAATAAAATAGGGGTCAAGGGTGGATTCCTCTTTCCGGACTGAACATCCGCCTGATCAGTGACTCACCTTTGGGCTGGTTAGGGGCTGATATGGGTTGAAGTCAGAATAATAGACCTGGGAGAGAGAGAGAGAGACAGAGAGAGAGAGAGAGAGAGAGAGAGAGAGAGAGAGAGAGAGAGAGAGAGAGAGAGAGAGAGA